CCCCCCCCCCCCACTTCCCAACAGTTAAAAAAAAAAATAAGAAAACAAATTTAAACAAATTAAAAAATAAATCATAAAAAAATAAATAAAGCACAAACCTCCCTCACCACACACACACAGATAACATAAACATGCACCATATGGGGGTGTACACCATGCACATGCGCTGCGAAGCGTTGTTAGAACGCATAGCAGTGCTTGATTTTTTTTTAACTGTGTGGCATCACATGGCAAAGCTTTGTGAGGCATTGCCGTACATTGTGATATGCTGTGTTACGCCTGTATCATTTTATCACAACACACACCAAGACAGTGCACAAACGATTTTTTACATAAGTTGCTTATTCACAGTTTTGCATTACTTCAAAAAGGCACAATGTAAAAGGTACAAATATGTGTTATTTATTAACTCAATACAGTTTTATCTTTTAGATTTAGTTGGAAAAAATCATTTGTGCACTGATACTGATTTTAGTGTGCTTTTATCGATTTAATTTTGTATTTTTATCGGTTTAATATAGATTTGAGAAACATTTGTGCAATTATCACAGGACCTACAAAATTAGTAGCACCATATTTTTATTCTACTATGCCTGTGCTTTCAGAAAATATAGAGTTGGGATGGTCTTTTACAAACCCTAGCAACGCAGCAGTAGAAAATCAAAACAATGGGAAATATTGCAAAAATGGTGTGGCCAACTGTTGTTAAAAGCATCCTGGAGGGCTTGGCAGTGAAAGGGGCCTGATAAAAGGGGATTCCTAACCCCTGAAACTTGTTGACTGTGGATATCTTCTTGTTGCCAGTTGTGAAGCCAATAATTATTTTTGGACTATTGAGAGGGTTACCTGGTATTCTTTTTTAGTCTTCATTCATGTGGATTTCTCATTCTGGCCATCCCCTCCTTTTGGGGGGCCTCCTGTTGTGTCAAGAGCTGCTGGAAATGAGCCATCAGGCCCAATTATTGCTCCTATTCAACTAGAGAAATTTTGTGGTCCAATCTTTCATCTCCACTCACCATTGGATGTATGTAAAAGAAGCAGTGGTAGGATTGTTTTCTCCTAATGCTCTGCCCTGGGATGAGTAGTATTGGAGCCGTGTTAGGTGTGGCTTCTGTGGACGCCCTGTCCCTGGGTAAAGTTAGCATGCTGGAATTGGTAGCAATTTAATGCATGCACGCTGGAGAGTAACTTAAAGGAGAACTATTGCCTAACCCTTTTTTGGCCATAGTTCTCTTCAGGTTCAAAGGAAGATATATACTAATGGTGAACCAAAACTCAGCATATAGTGAGCTATTGTCCGCTATATGCTGAGAGAGCAGAGCCATGCCACAGCCGGGATGGATCCAAACAATACTGTTGAGATCCACCCTGCTGGCTGATTGACAGCTGGCTCTGCCTCTCTAGAAGCAGCCCCCTCCCCAGTCAGTGCTGGAATAATGGAGAGGGGAGGGGGGGAATCCTTGCGGGAAGTGTAACTGACAGTCACCGCTCTCTGCAGGGAGAGGATAGGGAAGTCAGCGATCGGCGGTATGTGTTAGCCGACAGCTTTAGTGTCACAGGTCAGCTTGATTTATGGGGATGAGTGTTTTTGACCCCCCCCTAATTCTCCTTAAATTAAAGAAGTGGCAAGTCTGCCCTTTAGTGAGGTCCTGTCCATGGTCCTGTCCTGTAACTGGAGAAGCATCTTGGACTGGGTGCACTGCATAGAGTGTGACCCTGAAAATTGCTGTTTTACCACAGAAATGTGTATAAAAAGTCTCTCACTTTCTGAGAAAAGAAATGTCGCTCTTGATGATCGAAATACATAATTTGTATTTCAGAGCATATCCTTTATTTCATTTATACCATCAACAGGTATAGACTACAACTAGGCAGCTCCTTTGTGGTATCTAAAAGATTGATCTGTGGTCAGATGTTTTTACATGCTACCTGAACAGAGGAAAGGATCCAGTGTAATATGTTCAGCTTGGCAACATACTGTCTTGGTCCACCACAGCTGCTAATTATTAAGTCTTTTTACCACTTTTAACAAAGGAAGATTTACATCAGTGGCGTAACAATCGCCATAGCGACCCAGGCGGCCGATATGGGGCCCGGGCACAGGGGGGCCGGCCAGGGCCGACGCTAGGGCTCTGCAAGTGGCATAACTAGCAATCACGGGACCCCATACAAAATTTTGCTATGGGGCCCTGTGATTTCTAGTTACGCCCCTGATTTACATAATTAACTTGGTTATTATTATTTACATCATTAAACTGGTTATTATTGCTTGTCATTTTTTTCAGCCTCTTTAAGTCATGATCAGCAAGGACATGAGAACTGGGACCACCAGCTGAAGTTGGCAGTGGCATGGAACCGAGTTGACATTGCTAGAAGTGAGATTTTTACAGATGATCACCAGTGGAAGGTATGCCAGTTGCCTAAAATATTAATTTTACAAACAAAACTATTTTTTCAGTCATTAAAGTGGATCTATATTCTAATGTTCTATCATTCTCTCAATATCTGTCAGGGTACTAGGGGGCTTACCTCTCCTTGGGGTGGCCATGTGCGGCGGGGGGCACGGGTTCCCCTTCCTGGCAGGACCCCTGGTACCAGGATTGTGGGTACGCATTCGCGACAAGTGCGCGTGCGCGGTGGACAGGCTGCGCGCGCAGGCACGGGGACATGCACGTAGTGCACCTGTTACTGGTATCAGGTGTGATCCTTGCTGGGGGAGGTTCCCAGCACACACCCTCTGCCCCTCTCTCGCCATTGGCTCCTGATGGAGAGGCTACCTGGTTGCCTCGGTAGCCGGGGAGTGGTCTCAATCCTCCACTGAGTATAAAAGCCCAGTCAGAGCCCTGGCTCATTGCTGAGTTATTCTATCCCTATGGTGTGATCTCCCAGCTCCCTGTGCCTTGAACCTGTCTTTATTCCTGAACCTCTGCTTGGACTCTTGATTACCGACCCTTTGGCTTACCCTTCCGTTACTGAAACTAGCTGCCTGCCTCGACCCGGATTGGACCTGACTATTCTTCTTGGATTTTCCCTGTGTACCACGACCTCGCACTTTGGCTTGCCGCCCCTGCCAAGGGGTTCCACTCACGGCCCAGCCGTACCCCCCTGACAATATCGGTTGCATTTCAGCAGAATTTTTCTGTCAAAGTGGTAAAACCGTAGATATGTAGGAATTTGTAAACCGATTATGTCAGATCACATCCAACTTTATTGACCCTGGATCTAGCACACTTCACCCCCACCTAGAACCACCCCTGGGTATGATCACAAAGATCTCTTCCCTACTTTCCAGCTGAGTTCATAAAACATGGTTGGGCTCTCTTTGGTCTGCTCTTAGAGTAACAGAGGCAAGGGATTTTCACACAGGCTTGGAGTACCGACATCTGTCTACATGTCTACAGTGGTATAACCTGTTGAATTTAGAGTAGTATTAAACTCTCGAACTTGTTTTATAATAATTACAGATTAAACAAATATACAATACCCAGCAAAGTATTTCTTACATTTTTGGCCAAGCATTTACATTCATCATATTTCTGAACACCTGTCTCCAACTCTTTCAGCAGAGCTTCCCTGAATTTCCTTTTGAGAACCAGATCACAATGGACAGCGTAGACTCCAGCAGCTGTCCATCTACTAGCCTAGAGAAGAGAGGAAGGGAGCAGAGGAGTGGATTGCCCTGCTGTATCTGTGTGTTTGTGGAGACACACACAGTTACTAGCACACGCATGGCCACCAGAGCTACCCTAAAACGGGATATCATGGGCAGTGCTTAGGGGACCAGCTGATTCTGCAGGAAGCTAAAACTTTTAAACATCAAGAAGCAGTATCCGTTGTAAGTGATTTTGTTAGAATTTAAAATAGCTTACAACATTTTGCCTTAATATCACTTTAAGGTTGTGTATTTTTCAATCTGTCCAATATATTGCATCCTCTTTTTGTGGCATATATAAATACATACTTTTTCATTAACTAATTACTGTTATATCAATGTTAGTTTACCAAGTGGCAATACACATTAGAGGCATCTTACATTTCTGACAAGGTCTCCCACATGCATGGTTGCTTTGTGTGACAATTTATTTTAGCCAAGCTGCAGGAGAATAGGAGGTGTGCTGCACTTGCTTTACTAGTAGGATAAAAACAGAAAGGTTTTATAAACTAAATGATTGCAATTTCTCTAGATGCGTTTCAAATGGCACCTCACAACGAGTTGTCAGAATGTTACACATAACTTTTTCACAACAGTCAATACAGAAAAAGAGTAGCATTGCAAAAGTCATTATAGTTCACGATTACTAGTATAAAGGGTAATGACTTGTCTCCCTTATAGCGATGTCAGTTTGAACAAATCGATTAGTGTGGACATTAAAGCACTTGAAAACAAACTATCCTGATAACCTCTTCAGTAGCTTGTTAGTTTCTTCCATATGTAGTGCTTTTTGTACAATAATTGTGGTTTGTTCTTCACAGCCCTCAGATCTGCACCCAGTCATGACAGCAGCATTGATTGGCAATAAGCCAGAGTTTGTTAAGCTTTTCCTGGAACATGGTGTCCGTCTAGAAGAATACGCTACTCAAGAAACTATACTAAACCTCTACAATAACACAGAATCATCATGCTTATTCTATAGTAAGCTTGCTAAAATAAAAGAGGATGAAAGATTTCGCTGTGAATTTCAAAAGGCATCAAAACTCCATCTTCATCACGTGTCACAGGTTTTAAGAGAACTCTTGGGTGACTTCACAAAACATCTGTATCCAAAGCCGAAAAGCACAGACCGACTTCGACTATCGATTGCAGTCCCACACATCAAAATAAATGTAGGTTTATTATATGGCTTTGCCATACATTTTATCTTTTGGTGGCATTCTAGGTAATCTAATATGTTTTGTAATAACATAATGTAACATCATATTAGACTGATGAAGATGCTTATCTGTCTATAATGACCCCTTAAAATGTATTGTAGAAAGAAAAATGATATCTTGAGCTCATGTTTTGTAACTGTAATATTTTACTTTGGGCAAATAGATGAAAAATATGGCAAATTACACAAATGGCAATTTGATATGTTGAATGGACTGTTCGGCTATTCACTTCAGGTTTGTACGGCTGATTTAAGCTGTATATTGGCTGAAATCAGCCGTACATCGCGTGGCTCCGACCCGAAGTGCAGAAGGAGTTCGACATAGCCGATCCAACATCTGGATCGGCTAAGCCGAACCTCCGGCAGGCTAGTCGCTGCTGTTCGGTCTATTCTTATAGATGCCGAACAGCAGTGAGTAAATAGCCGAATGCCGCTGAGCGGCATTCCGTTAGGCTGTTCTGCTCGGTCCCTCTGTGGGACCGAGCAGAACAGAAAAATAGTTAAAAAAGTAGGAAAGAAAACAATTGTGCGGAGCTAGCAGTGACAACTAGCTCCGCCCAACTGTTTTCTATTGGCCGGCGGTTCTGCTGCCGTCAAAAAAAAGAAGAAAAAAAACATTTTCGCCATAGGAATGCATTGCTAGATTCCTATTGGCTATTGCAATTTGCAATAGCCAATAGCAAACCAACTTTTGCACCCGTCCTCTGCTGCTGTCAATCACTAGTGGGGACCTGATGGAGAACTGCAGGTCCCCTCTGCTGATTGACAGCAGCAGTGGGCGGGTGGAATAGCTAGTTTGCTATTGGCTTATGCAAATTGAGATAGCCAATAGGAATCTAGCAATGCATTCCTATGGTGATTTTTTTTTTTTTTCCTGACGATAGCCAACTTCTCCCTGTCAGAATAAAAAAAGAAAAAGCAGTGTTTCTCTCCTGGGCGGCCGGGAGACTCCGGGAGAGTTGGGCTGTCTGGAGATCAGTGTCCCTGGTTAGCTGGTAACCAGGGACGCTGATCTCTCTGCAAGTGGCCGGAGCCAGCCGTAAGATCACGACTGGCTCCGCTCAGCTGTCAGAAGCAGGCTGTCGACTGGCCAATGGCCGGCCGCTCGGCCAGCTTCGGCTTTCAGCTCAGTCGAGCCGAAGCATATGCCTTCGGCTGGACTGAGCCGCTCGGCCGACCTTCGGGAGCTGTACGGGCTATAGTGAATAGCCCGTACAGCAGCCCTTCGGTTCTACTCAACCGAAGGGGTCGTGGGGCCGAAGCTAGTCGAAGGATCAGCTGAAGATACGGCTAGATCCTTCGGCTGCTTCGTGAATAGACCCCTGTCGGTTTTAATGTAGTGTGCTAACTCATGCACAATAACATGTAGTATTTTGTGCATTTATGTGCATTGTGTAAAGGCAACCCATTCATTCGAATGGGCTTCCAATACACAGCAGTGCACAGTATGTTGTTGTGCATTGCAGTGCGGATCTGCCAACACCTACAGCACTGTACATTGGGGTGCATCCTGAATTGCAGTGCACTGCATGGAGTGCCACGTATTACCCTGTGCTGCAAGTGTGTAGGGGCCTTACTTTAGCATAGAAAAGAAATGTGCTAATTGCATATGCAGGCTTTTCTTCCTGCTGACATAGTACTAGAGTTTGTGTGGGTCAGTGTTCCTATAGTGCAAGCCTATGGGTCATGTCTAACCTAGATTAAAACAACTGACAAGCTGTCAAAATGAAAACAAGGCTAA